GAAACAATATTCTTCTATTGATGACACACCTGAAGGTATTGTTACACTGTTAAGACTACTACATTCACTGAAACAATTATAATTAATCGATATGACACTCGATGGAATTGTGACACTGCTTAGATTAATACATCCACTAAAACAACCATCACCAATATAAGTCACACTTGATGGTATTATCATGCTGCTTAAACTGCTACATTGACGGAAACATTCATCACCAAGTGGTTTCACACTCATTGGTATCGTAATACTGCTTAGATTAATACAATTACCAAAACTAAATTCATTCATATATATCACACCTAATGGTATTGTAACACTCGTTAGACTACTACATCCATAGAAACATTCTTCACCAATTGATATTACACTTGATGGAATGTTATTACCATATTTCTCTCTATTATTTTGAGTGTAAGTTACATTTTTAAACTCAATGTTTCGACTTTTGTTTTTGTCAACAGTTTCAAAATCAACATCAAACCACACAATGATTTGAAAAAACGTTTTCTTTAAAACAGATTTATTTTCACAATCTTGATTTTCTTCTGTGTTGACCAAAATCCCATTACCGAAGTTTTTATCTTCTCTATTCCATAAGTGAAGTGTCTCGATGTTTGTAAAATATCCAATTGTTTTGGAATTCAACTGAATTGGGTTAAAGTGGTACTTTCCCATATTACCACCAAACTTCTTGCATACCAACTCCAAGTTAATAAAGTCTCTGATCGTCTTAAAATACTCCGAGACTATCATAATGTGATAACCAGAAAGTTGAGACATTTTGATATTCACAGTTATTCGTCGTTTAAGTATTAATAAATTCTTTTAATTGATTTTATTGGTAATTTTATAAATCATTTATCAATAAATGTTATTTAATAATACTATAAGAATGTTATATTTAAATAAAAAATAATAATTAAAATACAAATAACATATTTTGAAAACAAATGATAGAGAATTGATCATTTCTTTGATAGTTGTTTTGTTGTTATTTTCAAACAGGGCTGCAAACCTCAATTAAATAACCGTTTTTGAAAAAGAAAAAATGGTATTTTTTGGATAAAAAAAATAATCCTATTCATAATATATTTTTTTGCTCAATTTCAAGAAAATAATCATAATCTAAAAACCAACATAATATAAATATCAATTTTGATCATATTTATTTAAATAAAAAAACAAATCTAATATGATGTAAAATAACATTATTTAAGAATAGGGTGCGCAACCGTTGACAAAATATTTGCTGTTTGCCCTTTTTTCAACACAAAATTATACTTTGCTTTAATCGTTTTATTTTTACAACTAATCGTGATCTTCAAAATATCGAAATCTGAAATATCATTTAAAAGATCTGCCATAACAACCAAAAAATCAAAGCTAAAAAACGAACCAAAAAATAATATTATTTTTGTTATTATGCATTTTAGTTTTATAATTTACATTTTTACTTTAAAACTTTAATGCCAAAATTATTAAGCATATTAATTAAAAATCCAATATTTGCGCTTTTTTACCACCACGAATAAATGATATCATTTCAATGTTTTCAACAATTTCATATAATTGTTATATTGACTTTATATTATGACAACAACAATACTTTCCATTATTGTTGACATTTAAAAACAAAGAAAACAAGCCAAAATATAAGTAAAATAAGTATTTGGTATAACAGTACTCGTTAAACTACAACAAAATTATAAATTGAGTTAAAAAACAATTAAATGATATTGTTTCTTTCTTTTGTTTTATATTTTATATGCAAATATTTAGTTTGATCATTCACATGATATTATAAGTTGTTTGACAACTTTTTTGCATTTTTCATGATTATTATTATTTTTTCAATAAATTTTCTGATTAAATTAATAAATATTTTATTGTTGAAGTGATAACCACCAAAACGTGTGTCATATTTAAATTTTATCTACATTATGATACAATATTATCGATAGCAAATAAACAACACTAAATTTCTTTCCTTAATAATAATTATCAAATTTTTCTATAATTTTGTTGTTTTTTGTTTATTTTTTGGTTCATTGATAATTATATACACATTAATAACTTCAACAAAAAAACAATAGTCTCTTGTGGTTGTAAGTTGTTAGAACATACAGAAATTGTAACAATCTTTTTATTAACATTTCAACAATTAATCATCTTTGTTTTTATTATTTATTTTTATTACCACATACAAATTGATCTCTTTGAACGAAAACTTCTTGTTTTATCTGTTGTATTTAGTTGAATCAATAGAATGTCAAAGTCGTCTTTAATTACAATAAATTAAAAATGACTCATATCTTTTTATTAAAAAATCAATTTTTAATTCATTCGTTTTTTGTGTATACCATGTTTATCAATACACTATTCATATGGCATTTTAAACGGTGTCTTAATATTTTAAACACCTTTTGCAATTACATTATTATGTTGCTTGTGTTGTTTTTAAAGAATTTTACAATAAAGTTGGAAATGAAAAAACAACAATATGTTGTTTATACCAAATTATAAAATTTGCTGTCAATTTTTTATCTATTAAATTATATAACATTTTTTTGTTATCTTATTTTTTCAATTGTTCTAAATTGTCTTTTATAAAATACAAAATATCAAAAATGTTGTTTTTCATTATTATTTGTTTTTTATCAACTTTTGAAACAAATAAAAAGTTTATTTACTTTTTATAGAATACTGTTCACACGTTTCAATATTAAGACAGATTTTACAAAGTGTGCTCATTTATATCAATAAAAAAATAAATTGACATATTTCACTATTTTTTGCAATGAAAAAAAAGATTTCATAAAAATGAAAAATTACTTTCACGGTTGCGCACACTATTTAAGAAGACAATTATTTTTGTATAGATTTTGTTTCTAATTAAAACACGTTTAAAATCCTTTGAAACAGAATGTCCAAAAAATTAAGATAAGTCCCAAGTTAAGTGTTTAGACTAATACTCCTGTTTTTATAGATATTTTAAATTGTAATATAAAAAACAAAATGATAATTTGGGAAAAATCATTTTTTTGGACACTCTGTTTGAAATGAGATATAGTCGCATCAAATTAATTAAAGGATTTTCTTTGTAAAAAGTTTTTTTCTATAATAATAGCCAAAGACACAATGATTTAAAGTACATATATATAAAAGATATAAAAACAATTTAACAATAAAAAGTGATATAAATAATTAAAAGATGTTTAAAAACCCTCTACTATTTGTGATATTATTTAAAAATATAGTTAATTATACCTAACGATATAACATAAAAAATACCAAATACATTTATTACCTATCATGGTTAGACATGTGCTTTTTTATTTTAATTAATAATCATATTTTTACCAAAAATAACAACTTCCTTAAATCTTTTGTCTAACCACGTACCTATAAAAATAGTCACTATTTAACAATTTCAAAAGTATAAAAAATGTTTTAGTATATTAACAAGAATTATAAAGAATAATTGAATCAAACCAACTTCAAAAAATTTGATAACCAATTTGTTAAGAAAAATACCAAAAACTAACTTTTAAAAAACAACCAAAACACATCTAATAATTAAAAGAATGACCTATTCAAATTCATGTATAATAATATTCTCACTGATATCATTGATATTCTTCATTATTTTAACATTTGACACCACTTCACATTTATCAAAAAACAAGATTAATAAGAAATACAACGTTTCTAAAGATGTTCCACATTACTTTTCCAATGGGAAAATAAATGTTGAAAATTTCAATTATTCAGGCATATGTCATGAAGTGTTCAAATACAAACCACACAACAAAAAAGATCTTTGGCTGTCTGCTGTTGGTTTTAAAGACATCAATTACTGGAGAAAAATAAGAGCCGACACAATACTCTCAATGGGACTCGCCAAATCATCAATACCACATGCCGACAAAGTCGTATTGTTACTTGAAGGTCTTGAAATTCCAGAGTTTTTCAAGATTTCTGATGCCAATGGATTTAAAGTTGTTAAAATAAAAATCACAACAAACGTGACAGGACAAGACGCGACAAGGCGGTTTATTGCATTTGAAGAATTTATGAGAGAAAATCGTCACAAATACGAGAGGGTCTTAGTCAGTGACCAACGAGATGTTTTTATATTTGCGGACTTCTTTTCCACTTTTAGTGAAGAACAAATCAACTTTGTTGCTGAGTGCAATTATGATCAGATAAATTGTATTGATTTCACAGAACGAGGAAATTTCAATGTGATGAATTACACATATGGCAAACGTGTTTCTGAAGAGTTCCGAAGCAACAAGTCGTTATTGGTCAACGTTGGCACCGTCTTTGGTGGGTCTGAAAAGGTGTACCAATATTTGAAGTTGTACAAAGACAACATTGATACAACTAAGTGGAAGAAATGGTTCTACGATCAGATTCTGCACAACCACATCTACTATTCTTATTACTACAATAGACCAGAAACTAATAGCACTCTT